TGCATGCAATCTTTCCTATTTTTTCATCTGATTTGGACCATGTTTATATTGTTCTCAGAATGAGCTGGGCATGATACCCTCTTTTTTCAAGTCTCTTGATTTACTTTCTGTAACACTTACCATCTTCTTGGCTTCACTTCCATGGTCAGCTCTGACATGGCTGTCAATGGTGCCTGCTTCCTAACATCTCTGCGAAATCCCTTCTCCTCAATGTAAGCTCAATGGGGTGACCTGCTTCTAATGAATAGGATACAGCAAAAGAACTGAGACACCACGTCCAACAAGTTTATTAAAATACAGTGGCTTCTGTCTTGGGTGCCCCTCTTGCTTAAGCCCTAAGGGAATCTAGCTGCCTTGTTATGAGCAATGAAAGACTCATGCAGTGAAGAACTGAAGGGAGAGAGGCCTCTGGCCAACCAGCCTGTGAGAAAATGAATCCATGAGCTTGCAAGGAACTGAATCCTGCCAATGACCACTTAAGAGGACTTGAAGGTGAAGTCTCTCCCAGTCAAGACTTGATGGGACTGCAGTCCAGCCTATTTTTTGAGAATTTGCATCAGGGGTACCCTGTTAGGCCACACGTTTCATTAATGGACTTGTAGGGACCCCACCTTATCCTTGTGTTGGGCGGAGACCTTCAGAAAGTCAGGGCTGTAGAGCTACTGCCCCCCACCACTAATTTTCCCCACTTGGGCAAAGATGAGCCTGTGCTAAAGTTAAGAACTTGGGTTCTAAAGTTAAATCATCTAAATTTTGATTGTGGCTTTGCTAGTAATTAGTTATGAGACCTTGAGTGGTCACTTAATCATTCTGCACCCCGATCTGTTCATCTGTGAAACAGGGATCATAACAATACCAACCTGATAGGATTGTTGGGTGAATTTAATCAGTTAATGCAGGCCAAGTACACAGAACAATAAATGTCATTACCTAAGGTGAGGTTCTGGGATGTGTGTGTGTGTGTTTGTGTGTGTATGTACTCCTCTCTCCTCAGTCCCAGGTGAGAAACTATTCTGAAACACTCTAGAATATACTTTCAAAGCCCAAATGGCCTGGGTCTTCTTCCAGGTCCTCCTTATTGCATCTTTTTTTTTTTTTCATCATTTTCTTAGTGACTTTTGGTTCCTGATAGGTTATGTGTCCTTCGTAATATATAAGGGAAGGAATAAGGAAAAAGAGAGGTTTTAAAGAAAATCCTAGAGGGGCACAGAGCTTGAGAGAGGCTAACTGAAGGGGCCTTGTGATTGTGATAAAGTCCTTGTAAGTCAGCTCAGGTCAGTTTCCCTCAGAAACACAAAAGGGAACAGGCATGCCCAGGGTCACACAACTTCCAATGCATTAATCCTGTTGATTCAAGTGTCTGTGTGTCTTTCAAAGGAGAAGAGTTTAAAGAAAGAAAGGCCAGCTACCAAATGCTGCTAGGAACATAAGTAAAGGGGTTCTTCACAGCGTGTGTCCCAATTTATAATTCTGTAATTATTTGTTTAGTGTCTCTTTCCCCCTTTAGATTGTAGGCACCATGAGGGATTCTGACTCTTTTATATTTAGTGCTTGTCATATGGCCTGATTACAGCAGGCACAGAACTCTAGTGACATTGGAGTGAGATGCCCCTCTCCTCCAAAGCCAGATTGACCCTCTCCCTGCCACTCCCAACACCCTCCCTACCACAAGGCCCAGAAGCGTTAGCTATTCCTTTTCTGTAGCCTCTAAAATGTCACCTGGTTAGATGTCATGTGGCTACCCTGAATTGGAAAAATCAAGTTTTGCCCCACTGCAAAGAATGAGCTCTTGAGAACTGAATTATGAACACATAACCTTGCTTTCATTTTTGCACAGAGGTTTGAATATTTGAATCTTATGTACAAATCACTCCAAGGCAACATTGCCTCCCCATTCTGTGAGTAATATGTTTGACCAGTGAATGTCAGAGAAGTCTCCCAATAGACTAACAATATACAAGGGCAGGAGTATTCAAACAACAGTGTTCCTGTATCATTGAGTACCCAGTCTACTCATACAGATCCTCCTCCTCTTATGAATGGGTTGTAACTCAATAAACTCATTGTAAGTTGAAAATATCCTCAGTTGAATTTAATTTAACCTGCCCAAACCTCATAGCCTAGCCCTCTACTATATCTTTTTACAAGTGTAAGTCTTTCCTCACCCACTTACTCAAATAGATATAACCACTTCCTCCTCTTGGCAACTTCTGCACCCTGTACACAAATCCATCTTTGTCCTCTCTGTCCTCTAGCACCATTTCTGGTTTCTGCACACACTTCCTTTACCACATTGTGAACTTCTGAAGGGCACAGCATGGCATTAGTCATCATTAATTTCCTAGCACCCACCCAGTGGAGCACTTTATGCAGAGTGGGCACACAGAAAGGTTGATGGAGTTGAGCTGGCCGAGTGGAGGCCCAGGAGTCCTTTCCCTGTTTCTCTTTGGTGCCCATGCCATATTCCTACTTAAACAAGCAGCCTGGCTGTGCCTCAGCTACCGATGCAGCACTTTCAGGCTGATCTATCAGTATTGGTTGGCAAGAGGGCACCTGAATGGGTGACAGACAACTGAGGACTGAGTGTCCAGACATTCATTGGTTCTTCACTCTGACCCTTGTCTTCTGTTGGCTTGACTGAAAAATTTGGGTTATGTGAAATTCAAAACCCAAAAGGTTCTTAAACTCTATAGAAACAAGACATTTAAGCCATGTTTGTGTAATTTGCTACCTAAACCTTTTCTTATCCTTTCTTATTCTCCTTAGAAACAAAACCCCATCTTCCTCTAAAACCACCTTTGTCCTTTTTACTTTCAGCCCTTTCTGCAGAAAGTGATACTCACTCCTTGCCAGCTCTGGCCTGCAAGTTCCCAGGACTGCCTGTCACTGGCCTAAATAGGTGGATGTCACAATAGTAAAATAAGTCCCTATTCTGTCCTTTTATTTTACCTGGCATCTTGTCATACAGTCTGAATTTCCACTGGTGGGACAAACCAGTTTGTCACCTTTGAGTTAAGGATTTCTTCAAAAGGAACCCTCTAAAATCCATAGCTGCCTCTGGAAAATATAATACATGAATACATCTATGCATTGACTCAAGGTCAAGCAGATGAATGTTTCATGTGGGTATCATGCCAGGATGCAGTGGAAACCAATTCAGTCATCTTCCTCAGGTGGATGTGGAGAGACACCTGTAACTGCTCAGAATAAGCTGTACTTCAGGCATCTCTGGAATACAGGAGACTAACAGAGAGGTACATAAGGAAATGCCAAGAACGAACAGACATGGCAAGTAGGAACATGACCCTCAGAAAAAGCAGTGTGGAAAGTCCCAAGAAATCTGATGCATTTCTACCCCCTTTTTGGTGCCTTCACAGGACACTGTTGAATAGGGCCATGCTATTCTCCCCAGTTCAAGTGACTTCTTAACAGCACATTACAGATGAGCTAAGAAGAAGGGGGACTCAAGGGTCTCGTGCAGTTCTGAATGCCATGTACAATGTTGGCCATCTCTCGGTAAGGACCACTATGGGGAATCGTGAGAGCTGCAGCTTGCAAGAGCAAACTGGTTAAAACGGGGGATCACCTATTTCCCTGGTCACCCCCAGAACAACTCCCATGGATCTTCAAGAACAAAGGACTCCATTTTGGCAGGAACAAAGATAGATGCAAGTTATGATGACATTAAGGGTTGCTCTACATTCCAACCAAGAGGCACACAGAATATATCCACATGAGACAATTAGGGTGTCATCTGATAACACTTGTCAATTTAACTCACCCAACTAAAGCTTTTTTAACCTTATTCTTATAAGTCTTCCTTATTCTTCTTGGAAACAAAATCCCATCTTCCTCTTAAAAGCTTACTCAGGTACAAAGATTTTGTAACTAGGCCTAATATGGCCGCTTGCCCTGTTCACCCCAGTGTCTGGCCCAGCTCATTGGACTCGATCCCAAGTGGTGATAAGCTAGGCCTTGCTAGGATCTGAGATGTAACCAGCACCACCTCGCCCCATGAGGAAATAATAGAAAGCATAATATTTGTGGCCCTTAATTCCATAGACTAAAATGTGAAGACACACATACTAAGAGTTGTGCTGAATGTGTGAAGGAAGACACTGTAGAATACCCCATAGCCTGTCTCCTCGTTGGCTCACTCACAGATGCCCTCACCATGCACTTTCACAACTCTGTTTACATGATTAGCATACAGATCTGACTAAGACCAGACATTATTCAGGTTGAAGATAGAGACAAATAGATAATTACAGTCCAACCCTGTAAAAGTTATAATACAGTTATGAAAAATGTCTTTATCAACAGTGAATGACTTTTCTTTCTGTCTCCTTAGCAACTGGTCAAAGTTGAATCTTAAATAATATTCAGGAAAGCATTAACCACAGATCTCAGTACAGGTAATTCCAGACTCCCTATAGTTTGATTCTGACTTTTTGACTTCATGATTTTTTGACTTTACACAGGTGTGAGGGGCTTGGCTCTGAGCTGGGTGTTGAAGAGGAGTAGGAGCCTTGAAGGGGGTCTAGGGACATTTCTGGACAGGGGAAACCACATGAGGACGAAGCTATAAACATGACTTGTGTGAAGGATTTTTCCTTTATTTTGCATGGTGGGCAGTAATGGAGGCAAGAGCAGATGAGAGGAGAGTTCAGTGGGTTCAGTGGGTTTACTTCAATTTCTTTAACCTTTGGGCTCACTGATAACACTGTTGAGTTGTTTACTTATTGATTCCCTAGACTGAGAGGGCCGTGATGTTTTGTCAACTCTGAAGGTGGAGCTTGTCACTGCAGGTGGGGCACAGGTGGCCTTTCTACTGGCTGCTGCTCCAGCCCCGCCCCTTCCCCCAGCACTTAAACCTTCCAGTCTCACTGAATCACCAAAGGACTGGAAGGGAAGATTTGTATGAGCAGACCAGCAGAGAGTAACAAACAGGAGCTGTGAAAGGAAAAGTCAGAGGAGAGAATCTCAGCAAGAACGTGGCCATGGACCTGATCCCAAACTTTTCCACCGAAACCTGGGTTCTCCTGGCTATCAGCCTAGTGCTCCTCTATCTGTGAGTATCCATTCAGGCTCAGTGCCTTGGCAACCTTGGACTTGGGGTGCTAATCAGGTGCCCCTTTCCTTTATCTGTTGTGAAGATCAAAAGGGTTAACTGAGGTGAAATTGCTCCAGCATTGGTTGCTGTGACACATAAAAGGTTATTACTGATCTTATGAAGGGCTGTTAAAGGAATAAAATCCCTCTCCTGACAATTCCTAATTTCTTTGGTTACAAGGCTTTGTAACATTTGCTCAGGGATGACCTGCTGGTTGACTACCAGTTTGGACCTAAGTTAACTGACCAAAATTTAGTCACAGTAGATTAAAAATAGTTGGATGCTCCTCCACGGGCCTCCTCCTAAGACTCAATTACTCACTCTGTAATAAGCAGAATGAGGTAACTTGAGAGTGAGGTAGAGTGCTGGCAGAAATCTTGACTTTTCTTTCACCATTGCCTTCCAGCATCTCAGGAGGGTTATCAACCATATAGAGATGTATTTGCTATCTGACATAAAATTTGCTAGCAGCCTGCGTGTGCATGAGTCCCCAAACCAAATGACTTGAAAATATTGTTTCCCCTTTAAATCATAGTAGAGCAGGGTGACTCAAGACCATCTAGTAGAGGAATTCGTTGAGTGGTAGGATTCCTGACTCATGGAGCAGGTTGGGAGAGGAGTTATTTTCATTGTGTGGGTAGAGAAGTCACCCATATCACCTTTAATCTTTATTTCAATATCACTTTCATTAGAAGTAGGACATTTCTACAAAAATAGAAAGCATAAACTTTGTTTTAATTAGTGAAAGAAATGCTAGTTCGGGGTATAATAGCAACATATTTTTTGTCTGATGTTATTATAAAGTTAACTGACATGGCTTAATTTCATTCTATTTAATATCAGATATTTCACTAACTCAATATTTGTTTTTTTATTTATTTATTTTTACCTGAAGGATAAAATAGTACTTGTCACCACAAGGATGTATAAACAACCATACCCTTCTAATCTGGGAATGTGACTCTACTATACAAATAACATCTTTCTGATATGGATTGTATATGTGTTTTTAAATATTTCTGCCTAGCAGTTTTTTTCTCATCTCTTAGTGCTAGTGAATAAGTGAGATGGTGAGCCAGTGAGAGACTCCTACCTGACTTGGGGTCAGAGTCAGGAGGGAGTGAGGCCCTGTTCCTCTCTCAGAGCAGATGTCCTGGACACTCAGGAGATTACACCAGGCAGCATGGTTGGCCTGGAGACAGGGGTACTAGCTAAGGCAAACTCTGTGTGGCCTGTCTGGCAATGGACTGTCATTAGCTAGTGTCACCACAGGGCAAACCACACTGTAGTCTTAGAAGATAGGGCACAGCCAAGAGTTAGTTGCAGACAATGCCCTCCCTATGCCTACACAATGTAAATGCAAAAAAATTAAAGATTTTATGTTAGCTTCTTCACTGATACAAAAAGCAAAAAAAAAAAAAAAAAATGGGGGGAAAATGGTCAAAAGAATTTACCCATCTCATCCTCCATCTTCCTTCATATGAATCTGTGTGAATTTACACACTTAGTCTAGATTTTCCTTGAGGACAAATGTCTCTGATACAGACTTTCAATACCTTGACTTCTCTTAAGAGTTCATGTAACACTTTGAAAGTCTGGAGGCAGAACTGGTTTAAGTGATTTGCCAATCAGTTGGTTAATTGATTCATGCTGATGGCAAAGGAAGAAACTGGGTGGACTAACAGAGGCTACCCCCTGTTTTTGGCAACTGATGCACCTGCCTCCACCATCTGCCTCAGAGAGAAGGTCCAAATGCCCAGCTGGTCCTGGCCAAAGTGCCTCTGCTGTGTCCTTCAAGCAAATTTTTGGGTTTATTTTATCATGTGTTATAAGATTTGTATGATTTGTATAAAATACTTGGAACCCACACATGCCTTAAAGGCTAACCTCCAAGGAAAAAGAAATAAGGTCTTCAACTCTGGAACATTTTGTGGTCACTCATTTTATGTTGTAAAACATATCTTTTGCAATCAGGTGCCTAAACTGTGGAAAACCCCTGCCTTTCAGCTGAGAGTGCTGGGAGGGCTATCAGTGTTCTTAGCCAGCATGTTCTTCACCCGCACTTCCCTAATTTGCCTTGTGAGGGTTAGCCCTGGAAGCCTGGAAACTTCAAGATTAAAATGGTTGCTGGCAACCGCTTCTGTCAACCTCTTTTCTGCCTCCTCTCTGCCGTCCCTCAGTAACAGCCTGAGTGGGAGGCTCACAGGATCCAGAGTCCCCTGTTGTGGGACTCACATGTGACACATGAAAGAGGAGTTGCTGGCAACCTTAAAGAAGCATCAGCCGTAGTGGATTTTGAGATAATCGAGCACAGATGCAGTAACCTAACTGCTTTCTGATTGACTATCTCAAAAAAAATGAGTGTGCCTTGCAGTGTGCTTAGCAGGTGAGTATCACAGGTTGGTGGGCCAGTTGCCCTGAGGAAAAGAATGGCCTGGAAATGAATTCTCTAGCTATTGATTACTTTATACAGTATTATCCAGGGAACAGATGGTCAATCACTCTTCTCTACAGGTCAAGTCAACAAAATTGCCTGACAACAGTAGCTGAAAGGTGCTCATATTTCTGAGCTAATGGAAACCGTGATCCCAGTTTCATCCCATAGAAATAAGAGCACTGTCACTGCTCCATGGCCTCTTTATGAAGATAAATTTAAGACAAACCAAGTCCCGAAACCTGGTCAGGGCATAGAGGGAATAAAAGGCATAAAAGTCTGTGAGCAAACTGTAAAAACAAGGTCAAAGTACAGTCTCAGTGAATCTGTGTTACTGGGTAGATTTCATCATTGGAACAGAAAAGATTTACATTTTCTACCTAAAATGAGAATCTCTAAATCATGGAAGAATCAATTTACTAAAGAGACATGAAAAATTCCATGGAGAAATTCCAGTCTGAACCTCTCCTGACCATACAAGTATGGAAACTTTTCTCATGATTTCACCATAGGATTGGGACCATGAAGGCTTAAATTGCTTTTAGCTAATTGTCTTTAGTTTTGTGGTTCTCACAGTGGAGGAGGGAAAGGAGATGATGAGTGATTAGAATTATTGCTGTTGGAGTTGCTACTATTATTATTGCCTACATATTACCTCTTAGCATGTAAATCCCATTCAGCGACTGATCTGATCCAGCATCTACCCACAATCCCTGTGACTTGGTTCTCTCTTTCAATTTATAGATACGGAACCTATACACATGGAACTTTTAAGAAGCTTGGAATTCCTGGGCCAACACCAATACCTTTTCTGGGAACCGTTCTAGCCTACCGTAAAGTGAGTATTGTCTGAGCCTCTTCTTTTGTCTGTGGTTGTAAATATGCTGAGTGCCATAGTAAGCATGTCTCTTCCTGGAGGAAATTCAATATTTTCCAGAAATGACTCCATAGGCTCCACCCAGCACCCAGCCAGGTTTACCCCAGGAATTTACTGTCAGCTATATGGAGCCCTGGGTTTGACCTCAGTCAGCCCAGCCTGACTAATTCAGCACAGGAGTGGATGATCTATCATGTGAGCATTGTGGAGAGGATTATCATACAGCCAGGGGAGGTACTGTCATACTTAGTGTTAGGAGAAAAGCATGATGAGAATGCCAATAGTAATTTACCAAGCTGTGTAACTAGTCTCAAACTTCCTGTTCATAGCGTGAGCTCAGGAAAGACTTTTTTCCTTCCTACTAGACATCTTTGAAACGTCAGTCTATTTGGCACCCCAAGTATTCACCAGTGGGTGAATTCTCTCAAGAACAGCTAAACCTGCAGCTATTTCCATGCCTGCTCTGCTTTTTGTCATCCATGACATCTTTGGGGATTTGAGAAATCCCTTCAAAGGGGAGAGTCTAGGCACCCAGTGGGTATAACAGACAAAATGGTGGTTGTCTATCGACTTCAGGTATTTAACTACTAAATAATTTTTTTAAACCACAGGCAAAAATTGCTCATGAAGATCCCTAGAAAGGAAATGATTTGATAAAATTATAAAAATGTAGTTTTACTAGTGAAATGTAGTAGGTGATACATGGCAAGATCTTTGTGATTAATCTAGCTCTGATGCCTCAGCCAGGGCCCCTGGGGTGGATGTTATGAACTGGCATCCAGAAGGCCAGCAGGTAGCTCAGATTCCTGTCGAGTAGGCCTGTGCCATATTTCTCAGAGCCTACATCTTCCAACTAGGTCTTCATGGCCTCCTACTGCCTAAGAACTTCTTGTACTTTTTTCCCACTGGAAAAGCAATAATTTCCTTCCTACTTTTCTCTCAATAAAAGCGACCACGCTGCACATTCTGGGACCTTCTTTGGCACATTTAAAATGTAAAATATCTGGCCCTCGCTGGTGTTGCAAGGGATTAAAGTGCAGCACTGTGAAGCTCTCTGCAGCCACTGCAGCATCTGTTCTAGCCCCAGGCAGGGAGCTGACCCACACATCACAGAAGACCTCTCCTGTCATGCAGGCAGCACCCCCCAGCAGTGTATTTCAGTCAGTCTGCCTTTTCTGCTCCCCACTCTGCCTCTGGTGAATCCCGCACCTCTGGCCTATACCCCAGTACTTATATGCATAAATAAATAAATATTTAAAAAATAAAATATAAAATATCATGTGGAAATGTATGACAGGAATTTCCTTTTTTTAGAATACAAGTTAAAGAATCAAAAACTCAGAGCCAGTGTCTAATTTGTTTTGTCCTTTTGCAAGTGATCTGTCTTTTCCACATTGAGCTGGAAAACTGGAAGATCCTTTTTTGTCAAATACCCACTCACTTTCTCACACAACAAACATGCCTTAGAGTTGTTTAAATATGCTAGAGTGAAAGGAGTCATTGGTGTCTTCAACTTTCTCACTCAAGTGGAATTTTCACGTGGGCCTGTGAGGTACAGGGAAAGGAGGCTTAACTCGGAGATCTGTGTGTGCACGTATTCCCTCAGCTGCAGTTTGATCCTCTGTGCCTGGATGTGATAATTCAGAGGGTTAGGAGACATTAGAGACAGCCATGCACAGAACATGTCAGAGACCAGGTGTCACTTGAATGTAGACAATCAGTACCCACTATACTCAGAGAAAAGTCAAAGGTGACTTTAAAGTCTTTGTTCCCAATGTCAGCTCTATTTTCTGTCCTTTCTCCTAAGACATCTCTGAATAAGCATCCCTGCAATTACCAATTAAAATTAGTAAGTCCAGTTTCCTGCTATTCAAGTCATTTTTGTCCCAATTAGAAGTAGGGTTCCATACATTTATCAACAATATAATTTTGGGTTTTGTTACAGGGTTTTTGGGATTTTGATATGAACTGCTTTAAGAAGTATGGGAAGATGTGGGGGTGAGTATCCTGAACACTTCATTAGACAACTTGTTACGAAGAGGACTATCTCCTTCGAAGCCTCATGGGATGAGAGGCCTTGGGAGGTTTTTCCCACAGGGCCCCTCAGCCCCTGGTACCCAGGCCTCCGAAGCAGGCCTGAGAGTTGCAGGTTATCACTTTCCTCAGCCTTTGATGGCCTAGGGATCCTAGTTAACTTTCAATTTGGTGTCTCCCTATTCTGGTCTCATTTCCTTCCTTCTGCCCATTTTAGTTGCATGAAATACATTACTTTAGACCCTTTATGTGTTAAAAAAATATATAGTATGTCATTGTCCTGTCCTGTATGATTCACTTTTAATTAAAACCCCAAAATCCTCTCTTTAAATTTTGAATTGAATATGCCTGGCAAGAGGGCCAGGGAGGGGTAATATGAAGATTAAAGTCTAGACTTCTACGCCTAATCCAGCTGCAGAAACCAACTTCTTCAGTGTAATCAGTTCTTTCTTCCGGACACAGGTTTTACGACGGGCGGCAGGCTGTGCTAGCTATCACCGATCCGGACATGATCAAAACAGTGCTAGTGAAAGAATGTTATACTGTCTTCACAAACCGGCGGGTAGGCATCCATTCTCTTAAAGCTATTCATTAACTAAATTTTAATTTTGAAGTTATTACAGATTCACAGGAAGTTACTCACCAAAAAATCATACAGTGGTGGTCCTATGCCAGGTGGCCTTCATCCTGTTTCCCAGATGCTGGCATCTCACCCAACTGCGATTACAACAGCAAAGCAGGAAGCTGGCATTAGTACTGTCCACAGAACTTAGTCAGATTCACTCCTTTTATGTGCCCCGTGCATGTGTGTTGGTCTGTGCCAGTTTGTCACACATGTAGAGATCTGTGATGACCACCACGACCAAGAAACAGAGCTGCGTATCACCGTGGGGTTCCCTCTTACGATTCTTTTATAGCCATGGTGCAGAGATTGCCTTTTGCCCCTAAATATGCTTAACTGAGCAAACAGTTTTTAATTTTGGTAAGCCAGTGGATCAATTTGTCCTTGTGTGGATTGTGCCTTTGGTGTCAAGCCCGAACATTCTTCACCAAGCTCTAAGGGCCTGATGATTTTCTCCGCCAAGTGTGCAGGGAGAGACCTTGCTAGTTTCCTTGGAAGTAAGGATGATGTGATTTTCTTCAGAGCAGGGCACAGAGGCCTACAGTCTTTGGGCCTGTGGCTGGTGTTCATAGTCCTTGCCCTCCTTTATTCACAGCTGTTTCTGGCCACCTCCACGGTGCCATTCTCTGGGTGGGGTGAAACCAAAGCAGGCGCGATGGCAAAGCTCTGCAGACTGGTGAGACTGGTTGTTCACCGCTCTCTCTCCTTTCCTAGCAAGAAAAACTCTCAGGTTGGGAAATTCCCTCTTGGCACTGAGCAGAGCTGAAGGGTGGGGTGATGTGGGCAATGTGAAACTCCTTCCTACCCTTTCGGTGCAGGTTTTCTCAGACTTTTTGCTCCATACTGTTCTTGAAATTTCATAAGTAGCCTCCTGAGCTCTCCCAGATCAGTTTTTCATTCGTGGGGAGCTGTCTAAGCGTTGTTCTTTTGGGGATGATGAAACCTGGGATCTCCTACTGGTAATGTTATTTTGTGTGCGTGTGTGTTAACTTTTATATACATATAAGTTTATTTTTACATCTTTTTTGCATTTTTTCCATCTCAGTTGTACTCCCCATGGGCTTCCTGTCACCAAATCACCCATGTGCCATCACCATAGTCCAGTGCATTTCCCTCCTCCCACTGTTTTTGATCCCATTCCCCACTCCACCCCACAAAACGTCTCTGTTATATGGCTGTTTATTATTATTATTATTTTCTCGCCTGGTCCATTAAACTCCTGCTATGAGTGAAACCAGCCAGTATTTTTCCTTTTCCTTCTGGCTTATTTCACTAGCTCCATCCATGTTGCTGAAAAAGGCAAGCGTTTATTTTGGTGATGTTATTTCAAGAATGTTTCACCATTAAGGTCACCATGTGAGGTCAGTGGCAGAGTTTTTTGTAGATGGTTTTTATCAAGGTTAGGATGTTCCATCCTCTTGCTAGTTTGTGAGTTTTTATCATGAGTGGGTATGAGGTTGTCCATTTTAAAATGCAATTTTTAAAAATGAAAGAAAAGTCAGCAGGTTGGCTTGACAGCCCAGCCCCAAATGGAGAAATGAAATGATCTTTTTCTTTTTTCCCCTCTCTGGCATGGGGTAGGGGTGGGAGGAGGAAAAGAACTTTCATGTAATTGTATCATGTCTCTAGAAGAGAACATAGATACCTAACCTTTTAAATATAAACTACTACTGATTTTTTTTAAATCACCATTTTAAAACATCTCTTTTTCAAGGTGTTCATACCATAAATACAGAACTGGTCTGAGGCAACATACAGTTTGCCAAGGTCATCTGGCTCTCTGTCACCAGTCTCTTTTTACACACAAAACCCTGAAGGATGTGTTAGGTCTATTCCTGTCTGTGCAGATGCTGGAAGCTCAGTTTCCTCACCCTTCGCTTATTTGCACTTAAATGGAGGTTGAGCCATGAAGGTTGGAATCCTTATTAGGTGCTAGATGTCTCCTTCCTCTCCTCAAGGGAGCTCAGCATTTGGGATTAATATTTACTGAGTGTCTAACACAGGGTTTGCTACTAAGTAGACAGTCACTAAATATTGAGTAATTGATGATTATTTAACAAATTTTCTGCAACTGTCGAGACATCCAAACAAGTGGGCATAAAAGCTTTCTTTTGCTTTTTACTCTAGCCTTTTGGTCCAGTGGGATTTATGAAAAATGCTGTCTCAGTAGCTGAAGATGACCAGTGGAAGAGACTACGGTCATTGCTGTCTCCAACCTTCACCAGTGGAAAACTGAAGGAGGTAAAAACATAAGAGGTCTCTCAGTTGGAAATTTAAAGAATGAATATGGGTGCAGATAGAAAACATGGTCATAGTCTGTTTCCAAGGGGTAGTCTGCTGAATGTGAGCTACCTAAAAATGACATTTTATCTCGATGTCCTAAAAGAAACATTATAAGTTGATAATAAAATGTAACAATACTCATGCTCAGGTCTGCATTTCACTTAGTGTTGCTGTATTCTGTGTTCAGATGTTCCCAATCATTAGCAAGTATGGAGATGTGCTGGTCGGGAACATGAGGAAGGAAGCAGAGAATGGCGAGCCCGTTAACTTGAAAAAGTAAGTCTGAGATGTCTTGAGTCCCACTGCTGAGTTACTCAAGTCAATCCACACAGAAGTGGGGGATTTTGTAGACCCAAAAAGGCAAGGCAGGATTAGTTTATCTGCGTAATTGTCACCCGAAATATTCTGGAAGACAAAATACATAGTTTAGAAAGAAGAAACACGGTCACACCAGAGTCTTGAGCACAAGGGGAATTATATGGGGAGAGGGAGCCATCAGTGTGTACTGATGGATAGTGGGCGGGGCAAGAAAGATACAGAGTGAAGCTTGAAGCAAATTAAATCTTTCATGACTTTTCTAAGGGAACTAGCAAAATACGAAGTAGTAAGTCTTGCTGTCTCTCCTTCCTTCAACCTCAGAAGAGAGAAGGGCTTGTGCTGGCAATGGATGGGTGACTCTATCATTTACTGTCTATACTGGGGCACTTTCCATTATGCAGGAACTGCAGATGTCAACTGGGCACACGATCACTCAGCAATGGGATTCCCCAAAATTGATGTTGGAATGTTACATATATACATGCTTTTTAAACTAAGAACACTCTTAATTCTTACATTTTATAGAAATGAGTCTACTCTCAGGCTGTACATCATGGAGTTGAGGGAGAGTAGGACTTTTAAGATTTCATCCTTATTTGGGACTTATTCTGGAAACTCAGAACAGGGCATTGCAATTTTAATACATGATGGAGAGGTATTAGCTCTGAACTGTGGTTAGGCAAGACCCAGGTCAGGGCTGACTTTGACTCCTCTAGGAAGAGTCAATTATTTTGCCTGTTGTCCTGCTCCTGCACAGTGCTTATCTACTTACAAGTGGCTGTTATCAAAACATACTACTGTAATCAATTATGTGTCCCTACCCCTCTATGACTTAGCTCCTTGAGCTGAGAAGTGGGTCTAACTTGCTGCAGCAGCCCTATCCAGCTGCATCACTGGCACTGGTAAACACCTCATGAATGAGTGTGAAGGCTGCATAGAGCCTTCAGATGACCTAGCAGATGGTTCTGAACATGTGGCTTTATACCTACCCTACCCAGGTCTGTGAACTTGCATGACCAACTTGCTTCAGATGCAGGGTGCAGAAAGCAAAGAGGAGCTAATTTAATTTTCCCATGTCTGTCTTTCCTCAGCATATTTGGAGCCTACAGCATGGATGTGATCACCAGCACATCATTTGGAGTGAGCGTTGATTCCCTCAACAACCCAAAAGACCCCTTCGTGGAAAATACCCAGAAGCTCTTAAGATTTAATTTCTTAGATCCATTTATTCTCTTAATAAGTATGAGGACTATTATTTTTCTTTTTTGTTCCTCCTCTCTCCCTTCTCCCCCCTCAGTCTCTCTCAAACAGCTTTATTGAGATATAATTCACACACAGTATAATTTATCTATTTAAAATGTCCATTGGTGGATGAATGGATAAGGAAAATATAATTCACGCATATGTGTGTGTGTGTATACATAGAGGTATATATGACTGTGAATATGCAGGAATATATCTATATGAGTATATTAGGCCACAAAAGAAGAAAAACCTGCCATTTGAGAAAACAGTAATAGCACTTGAGGGCACTGTTGTGAAATAAGACAGGGAAAGACAAATACTGCCCAATATCCCTTATATGGAGAACCTAAAATAACCCAACACCCTCATGTTAAATTAGATCAGATTTACATTACCAGAGGCAAAAGCTGGGGTGAGGAAATGAACTGAACGCACCCAAGGTACACACTTCCAGCCATAGGATAAGTGAATACTGGAGATGTGATATACAACATGCTGACTATAGTGTACACTGCTCGATGGTATTTTTTTAAGTTGCTGAGAGAACAGCTCATGACAAGGGAAAAACGTTTTCTAGCCATATGAGATCATGGGTGTTAAATAAACTTACTGTAGTAATCATATTGTTGTCATATTGTCAGTCAAGTCATTATGCAGTACCTCTTCAACCTAAATAGTACATTTGTTAATTATAACAATAAAAATTTAAAAGGGGCTTAGGTGCATTCAAAGACATACAGTTGTCACTCTCAACAACTGTAAAACACTTTTTATCAACTCAGAAACTCTATCTTGTAGCTATTACCTCCTGCTCTCCTCAGTTCTAAGCAATGGCAAATCTAAATTCTCTCTATAGATTGCCTATTCTGGACGCTTCATGTAGATAGAATTATATAATGTGCAGTCTTTTGTGACTGGCTTCTTTCATTTAGCATAGTTTTCAATGTTCATCCCTATGTAGACTGCACCAGTTTATTTCTTTTGATAGCCAAGTAATATTCCACTGCATAGACACTCTAAATTTTATTTATCTATTCCATAGCTAAATAATAGATAAATAAAATTTATTTATTTATTTATAAATTTTATTTCTCTATTCCATGGACATTTTAGTTGTTTCTGCCATTTGCTATTGTGAACAGTGCTGCTTTTATTATTCATGCGTAAAATTTGCTTTGAAAACTCTGTTTTCAATTTTTTTAGGCATACGCTCAGACAGCTGAGTTTTATAGTAATGCTATATTTAATTATTCAAGAACTACCAAATTGTTTTCCTAATTCCCACCAGCAATGTATGCTCTAATTTTGGGGAGAGTTAGTGAAAATTTGGCATCAATTCTTTAAATAATCTTTATTCTTTTTAAATTTAAACATTTATAATGATAAATTTTTCTCTGAGCTCTGCTTTTACTACATCCCATAAGCTTTGGCTATTTGGTTTTATTCATTCCAAAGTAATTTGCTATCTTTGTTTTTGGTCATTTCATAGTAATTTCAAGTTGTTCTTGATTTTTTTTGACCCACTGTTATTTTTTATTTATGAGTGTGTTGTCTAATTTATATGTATTTCTGAGTTTCCCAGTTTTCTTTCTAATTATTGATTTCTAATTTCATTTCATTGTGATTGAAGAACCTACGCATTATCATTTGTGTTCTGACTAATATGTTTTTACCAGCAGACTGTAGTCTGGTGTATCCAGAGCTTTAGTACCATAGATAAGGGACTGAGAAGTCAAGGAATTTAGTTCTGTTTCTTTGATTACCACAAAGACCTAGACGGGTCTCTTTACTAAAGGAATGGCCTCACTGTGACTTTTTCTTGCTCAGCCAATGGCATGGAAGTCTGAGTCATGATCTTGGGGTGGCTCCTGGTTGAGAACTCTGTTTCTTCTGACTAGTAAAGCAAATTGTAATTTTCTGGTATAGTTCTTATTTTTAATAACGTTTTCTTTTTCTCTGCAGCGCTCTTCCCATTCTTGACACCTGTTTTTGAAATGTTAGATATTTCTCTGTTTCCAAAAAGTGTCACTGGCTTTTTCAGAAAATCCATTAAAAAGATGAAAGAAAGTCGCCTCAATGATGACCAACAGGTAAAATCGGTTTACCTTTCAGATGAGTTACTGCGCCATTTATGTATGACTTGCATACATCTTTGTATTTGTTTTAACTCTAAAATTTAAGGCAGAAGTCTGACATTTTAGGGAGATGAGAAAGATGGAAATTGGGAAATGAGAAGTAAATGACTCAGTAAGACAACATTTAAAATTTAATAATATATTACAATTAGAATGTTACTACATAAATATTAGAGATATAAGCTTTAGTACCTCCCTTCAATAATCAAAGGATAAAAATTACTGTTTAAAACTTATTTTTCTGGTATAATAATTTTTCCAGATCTTAGACTGACATGAATCACTTCAGTTTCAGGTGTTTGCTTTGTACATTCTCATCATTACCTGGTGGATTATAATTTATTTAAATTAGAGCCCTCTCATATTTTGGAATTTTCTCCTGGCATTGAGGCTGTAAGTCAGCTTTGCCTTCATGAGTGTGGAGGCCAGTACCAGGATATCTGCCAGTCAGAGGGACAGGCCCGAGTGCCCCAAGATGTCAACAAAGATTGTATAAAATCCTGGAAGGGCAGCATTTGAAGAGTCTCCCACAAAAACTGCTAATGAACTCTGGCCATTCATTAAGAATTAAGACTGCAGGAAAAAAAGGATTGAAGTCAGGAACTTCTTCAGGTATGACAGGAGAGGGAGCAGGCTAGTCTTTGGTCCAGAAGCTGTGTTCAAAAGCAGAGGAGATGAGGATCAGAGAAAGCAAAGACCAAAGAGCATTTAGACATGAAGCCTGGATTTCTCTCAAGCAAAAATCCTACCACGCAAGATTTAGAGTGCGCTTTGTATTCACAGCAGATTCAGGTAGTACTTGTCAGACTTTTGGACACCCGGGGCCATGTTCTGAGGAAACAGGTTATGTACTGCGCTCCTGATATATTTCTGACTTCACAAGTGACTTTCTGTCATTGAGAATCTCTTTCTTTTTTCAGCACCGAGTGGATCTTCTTCAGCTCATGATCAACTCCCAGAATTTCAAAGACGTTGACAACCATAAAGGTAACAAGGAGTTGCTTCAGCTAAGGAACTTCTAGAAGTATACAGCATGGTTTTGTTCAAAGCTTGGAAGACAACCATAAATGAGCCTTCCAGCCCAGAAGTTAGTCAGTGGTCTGTAAATCAGCTGCATCAGGACCTCTGGGGAACTTGATCCCTATGTCTGTTCTCAGAGCTCATTCAGACCCAGTGAATCCTAATTCTTGCTTGGAAATATCCAGCAAGGCCTTTATCACACCAGATGCATATTACCCCAGTCTTGGTGACCTTAACGCAGACACTTGATTAAAATTGTGTTCCCAGACTTAACCTACTGTAAAGTTTTACTTGTGAAGGATGTCATGTGAGTAGTCCTTTCACCTACTACTAGTTTAATCATCCACATGTCATCAGTGTTTGGCTGAAACCACTGTTACTTAGATGATGACTTTTTCATTCTAACATTTCATCTACATGCGTTTATTGATGTTCCATCATAAGGGAGAGCTTTCCATTCTGCCCTTTTATTTGTTTATATCTATATGATCTCATATATAATTAATTTACTCTTATGTTATTCTTCTTTATTTTGAGGTTGAAGTTTTCTCAAATTTCACTTCAGATGAGATACTGTCTGTGTCCTTTTTTTCTTCTTTGTTAGAGAAGTTTTGGTTTACAGAAAAACAGACTCTCCATAGATCCCCTATCTACTCATAGAGGAAAGAAGGAAAGAGGGAGGAGAGAGTATAAACCTTGAGAAAAACTGGACCAAGACAATTTTGCCTTTTCCTGACCCTATGACGTAGCCATCGAGTGCAAACCACTCCCACTCACACCCTGGGCTGCATTCACATTTCCTCCCTAGGGATTTAGGAGTTTCATCTGGATTTCTCATCATCTAAATTGTGATGTTTTACATCAACTTGCTTAATCTAAAATATCTTTCCTCCCCTTTTAGCGATGTCTGATCTGGAGATCATGGCCCAATCTATTATTTTTATTTTTGCCGGCTATGAGACCACTAGCTCTTCTCTATCATTTTTAATGTATGCACTGGCCACTCACCCTGATGTCCAGAAAAAGCTGCAGGATGAGATTGATGCAACTTTCCCCAATAAGGTGAGTGGGTGACCCTGGCGAGGGGAGGAGAAGGTAGAGCTTCCTCACCATTTCCTGGGAGAATTTTTACAAAAAGCAAGATCATCAATTCTTCCACCTGTGCTACTGAGGAAAGATGTAGAGACAAGAACAAAAGCAGGAAAAATAGGTAATCTATGCTACTCACAGAAATAGAAGATCTTTGAAAAAATCTTGAGTATCAGTTATATGGAATTCTTTGTGTTATAAAGAGACCTACCTTTGAGGCAAGACTGTTTTGTTTGAGATCTTCAGAGCTAATAGTCAAACCCTGAAGCAATAACTAGGAGACTGTTCCAAAAAAAACAATGGAACTGCGTGTGGGGCTCTCAGCCTCTTATGACTTTCCCTAGAGCTGAAAATGTGTGCCATGGAGGCATCCAGGCATAGCCTTCTTTGGCCATATTTAGCTTAGAAAGAAACTGGCTTACCCCAAATTATTTATCATTTTAATGTAATAAAACATTTCTAAATTATTTATATTATTTACATGTAATACAAATATGTGTTTGTATCTGTGTCATGTCTATGTTTATACTATGTAATTTGTTTCTATATAACATTTATTTTTATACATGATCTAAAAAGTTAGCAAGAAGATTTTTCAGTGAAAAAGTGTTATGCTGAATACACCTTGGAACAGGTGTATGGCCTCTTTTTTGAAAGGGAACAGTGGTTTTAACATAGCTCATATAAGATTAATGGCCATAGTAGTGTTTCACATGGTAAAGTGAGGGGCTTTGGGGATGTTTAGGGGATTGTCCTTTGGGTCTCCCACAGTTAACAACTATGCTACATGTCTCAAGGGGCCTTTGAGTAGGTCAAGGACATGGTAGCTATTGAGATATCTATGCATGCTGAGGTCTTCTACCATAATCATTTGTTCTTTGGAGCTCTTAACATTTCAGTAATACTTCATAGGCTGATTGAGAGTTAATCTCAGATCTTACTTTGTCAAACTCTGGTTCTTTCCTCCCAGGCACCACCCACCTATGATACTGTGATGCAGATGGAATATCTTGACATGGTGATGAATGAAGGTCTCAGATTATACCCAATTGCTGGTAGAGTTGAGAGGGTCTGCAAGAAAGATGTGGAAGTCCAGGGGATATTCATTCCCAAAGGAACAGTGATCATGATGCCAATCTTTGTTCTTCACAAAGACCCAGAGCTCTGGACAGAACCAGACGAGTTCCGGCCTGAAAGGTACAGCACCCCCAGGCGAGGGAGCTCCCCAACTGGGCTGGTTGAAGCATGTTCTTATGTCTCTCAGGAAAGATGACAAACATGATTGTACAATCATTTATTTGCACATCTTTTTCTTTTAAAGGTTTTTTTTCTCACTAAAAGAGTGATTATTGTCAAAATTTTACAAACTATAGAATAGAAAAAGGAAACACAACTGTTTACAGTCCCAAGATCTTAAGACAGACTCATTATTAATAATATATGATGTATGTCCTATATGGACATTTTTCTATCCAGGTATAGATAATTTTTAATTAGAATGCATGGCATCATATTTGGTTTTTAACTACCGACTTTGTTTAACAGCAAACTATAAGCAATATCTTATATTAATCTTCCCTCTTGTGTTTGTGAATATATATATACTGTGTAATATACTGGTGTATATGCACATACACAGACACACAGTTGTACCACCTAACTTAGTGCTTTGTCTCCTCTCTCTCTCTCTCCACACTTCCCTTCAGGAAATTCTTTGTCTTCCAGGTGTGCACAGCTCATTACTCTGAAGGTAATTTTAGTGTTCACAGATTTTCTTTTAAACAGCTTTCATCTTGTCCCTTTAATGGTGGAGCTTCCATGAAATAGGGATGTGAGGATCTGTAGTTTACAATTCTCATAGCAAAATGACCTTGACAGGGTTTCAATGACTAGCCCATGAAAGTACTCACTGCACTATTACTGGTTTATGAATCTGAGGACCCCAAATAGATAGCTCTTGTGGTTTTGTTTCCTTAACTTGTTTTCATCAACTATTTTGCAACCAGATTTGGCAAGAATAACAAGGACAACATCAACCCTTACACATATATGCCCTTTGGAAATGGACCCCGGAACTGCATTGGGATGCGGTTTGCCCTCATGAACATGAAAGTTGCTCTCGTCCGAGTCCTACAGAACTTCACCTTCAAACCTTGTAAAGAAACACAGGTCAGACAATTAGCTTTTCATAAAATAATTTTTACTGGAAGCGGTTTCTTTCCTGAGGGGATATATATAAGAATGTTCTCATCCATCCTTTACTAATTTATTCTAGCGACCTAAGAATCTATTCGAAGCTTTCTCTGAGCTTCAAGGGTCCTTAGACTTTGGAGTTCTGACTGTGACTTTATAAAGCTCCAATTCTAAAAGTTACCAGAAGTTAGTGTAGCTAGGGCAACATGATTATACACAGTCTTTTGAACTTGACCAAAGTTAAATTTAGTTTCCATCAGAAAGGCAAGTGTTTTGTGTGTCATGAAGTACAGCAGTGACACACGACTCGTGAACAATGAAGTTCTTCACCAGACCTTCCAGAAACTCTCAGGGTTTATACACAGTTTGATTCTGGACTTTGCAATGGATTCATCCAGAAGCTTTAAATGAATCCTAATACTTAGGTCATCTCAGACATTCTAACGTAATTCACCCAGAGGGTGATTTTTCTAGCTCCTTCATTGACTCTCAAAAGCAGCCATGGCTGAGAATCATTGATTTAAAGCATTTCTGCCAGAGTTCTTGGGTACTAATTTTAATTTGAAAGATTTAATAAGTGATATATGTGCTGTGCTGTTTGTGTGTGTGTGTGTGTGTGTGTGTGTGTTTCTATCTGCAAAGGCAATTCTATCTGCAAAGGAAATATATCCCTGACATTTGAAATTTTTTAATAACCCTTATGGAAAGACCTAGAATCAGTTACCATTGATTTATACCAAGCAATGTCATGTCAGGTTTATTTTCTAGTCCATGTGGATTTAATATGTAGCTTCTCTTTTAGTAGGCTTCCTCAGAAGAGAAGAGAATAGAATAGAGATGGTTTTATATTACTGTGGCTTTAGGGAAGTTCTGTAGCAGTTCTGCAAATGTGTACAAAGAGTCTCAACCCATGAAAGGGATGGGGCAGCCATTCCTTGCAAGCAGTAATAACTTGCTTGTCCCTCCAGGCATCTGTGATCAGAATGTGATTCTGTTGGGAACTCTCCCAACACTGAAGGAGTCACTTGGTTATAAAAGGGCTAAAAACATGAATCAAAGCACCAGAAATTTTCAGAAGTTCACCATTTGTACTACAGTTGGGAGCCAGGATATGTTAGAAAATAAAAATGTAATGCTTCTCAAAGGCCTGATCTCAGATGAAACTCGAGTTCTACAGGGAATCATGCCTGGAGGTTTTAGATGTCAACATTAAAATGTGTAGTATCTACTTAGTTAATACTGAGTTTTCAACAAATACAGAATGAGCTCTGGCTTTCCAGAATAGTTTACCACAATGCCTACAAATATGGTTAAATTTTTAAGACATCATACTTCTACTTAAAATTTTAAAATGAGTATAAACCAACATTTTGTCTCCAGCATGGTACTGAATTGATCTTCAGAAGATATTTTGTTGAATAAGTGCATGGATGAGTGCTTTTGCTATCCAGTCTGGATATATATACTCTCTATAGAATAAATATAGAATAAATATAGAGAGTTAAGGATACATGATGCTAAAAATAGTTTTAACTTTTTTCTCTAAAGCATTACTTTCCTTAATGTATCTTGCTTACTTTGTTTCTTTTGTTGGTTGGGGAGCATTAATCAATTCTCATATGCTTATTTATGTATGTCTTTTGCAGATTCCCATGAAATTTGGCAATCAAGGACTTGTTCAACCAGAAAAACCTATTGTTCTAAAGGTTGAACCAAGAGATGTGTGAGTGGTGTTTGATTCTGCGTAATGACCTCCATTTTGTTCATCAATAAAGCTACATCCCAGAACACCAGAGAGCTTAATTAACTTTGTTACTAAACCTAGAAGTGAAGATTGGCCTAAACTACTGGAATCAATGGAAACTAGAGACTCTGTACACTTATTTGGTTTTCTATAGAGAGTCTATAACACTTTATATTGTGTTATATAAACATAGTGATTAAATAAGTGTCACATATATCATTTGTCTTCTCTGGTCTTCTTAGCACTATCTCCATTCACCATCCCCGGTCAGAACCATCTTTTAAGCACTGATAAGGAATTAAAATTTCTCAATTTTATCAACAAACTTTAATGAAAACGAGAATTTATTGTGGTGACTGCAGCACATTTATATCATGATCACTCAGTCATAAAAAAGAATGCTACCTTGCCATTTATGGCAACCTGGGTGAATATTGATGGGTCAAACTCTAAGTGGAATGTAATATGAATACCAGCATCATACAATTCCATTTACATGTGAAATAAGAAAAACAACAGAGGGGGTAAAACTCTTAATGGAAAATAGATTAGTGGTTACCATAAAGAAAGGGAAAATGAAGAAGATAAAGTTGGTCAATTGTAAGGTGATTGGTAGACACTTAAAAGGTTGAGGGTGATCATGTTGTAATGTATATTGGTGTTGAATTATAATTTTGTATACCTCAAACTTACATAATATTATAAACCAATGTTGCCTCAAGTAAAAAGCAAAAAAGAGAGCTCCCTAACAACTGTTAGTCAGTAGGATAGATCTCAGTGTCTCCGAGAGCCCTCAATGGTTTTGTGATTCAGCCCAGGGTTATGGGCCTGGAGACCTGAGACCAAATCCCAGTTTTACTACTTTTTGACTATGTGATTTTCAGGCAAATCATTTTAACCATCTGTGCTTATTTCCTCTTTTTAAAAATGATGGTGAAATACTATATGCATTATAGCATTTTGTGAGAATTCAGTACTTTAGTGTTTTAAAACCCACAGGATAATGTCATAGTGCTGTTGGCATCAATAAATTGAGGCAAGCAAAAGTAATTATTAAAGAATCAAGACTGAAGACATAAGCCAGGAGACAGTCTCCAGCTAGCTCAGAAAGCTGCCCACGCTCTGAGCTTCTCAGTGAGAATCATATACAATTGTAAATGTTTTCAAGGATTCCTTTCCAAGAATAACCCAAGCAGAGGCTTGGTTGATATATTTATCTGATAGCTATGCATTGAGGAAAACAAAGAGAGTTGTTAAATTTTGCCTGTCTACTTAGAGTCTTTTCTTCTGGGAAAGGTAAATTTTAATTCTGTCATATCTCTCAAAAATCAACAATTTTTGAAGTTACTGATTGGTCCGGAGGCAGCCTTTTTCAAAAATGATGCTTTTTTGTAAAGACAGCCTTTCTCCTGGACACAGTTTACTCAGCACCAGACCAGCTGCATCTTGATTCTTAGCTTGATTTTTGTGTCATTTGGGGCCAGGGAAATGTGCACCCACTTTATTGTTAACTTTGGTTAATAGTGCCTGTTTCTTAATAAGCCTTATGTAAATGAGAGCTATTCTGCTACAGGTGAAGGTGTCCATCTATGAATCAGACCCCAAAACTATTAGCATCATGATCTTGGACTTAGTATCCTCCAGAACTTGGAGAAATAATTTTTGTTGTATAAGACAGTCCGTGGTGTTTGTTTATAGTAACCCCTCCCCCCAAAGACAGTACTCTATGGCTTTTAGACACATGAATTATGTCAGAATACTAGAATTATGGATTAATCACTTCCTTTTGAGCAGTCAAGAAGTATCAGAAATCAAGGCCCTTGAAATAAACTCAGATGTTCACCCTGATGAACTGAGGAGCTTATTCCTTTCCACTCTTACCATTGGGGTAGCTACAATTAGAGCCTTTGAGTGATGCTTTCTCTCCCCAGCACTCTCCTCACAGCCTTCGCAACATCTCTATTGCGGAGAGTATAAATCAGAGGGTCAGGGAGGGAGTGATGATGATGTAGAACACAGAACCAACTTTGTCTTGCAGCAGAGTGCCTGGGACCTGGGTCTCATATATGAGAAGATGCAGGCACCAAAAAAGAGACAAATCACAGTCACATGAGCACTACAAGTCGCAAAGGCATTTTTCTTGCTCCCAGCTGAACGCATCTGAAAGACACTGTGGAGGATGAAAGCATAGGATGTAGCAACCAGGAGGATGGGGAAGAGGAGAAGCAGGATGGTGCTGATGTGAACTGTTTTCTCATACATACTGATGTCTCCACATACCAACTTCACAACAGCTGGAAGCTCACAGTAGAAGTGGTGGATTTTTCGAGGTCCACAGAAAGGGAAGTGCATCAACATCACTGTGTGAGTTAGTGAGTTCACAGATCCTCCCAGCCATGACATGACAGCCATCATCAGTGTCACCTTTCTGTTCATGAGAATCATGTAGTACAGTGGATGGCAGATGGCAACATAGGGTCATAGGACATGAGAGTTAGGAGAAGACACTCAGCACAACCCAGAAACAAATAAAAGAAGTGCTGGGTTGCACAGCCCACAAAGGAGATTGCCTTCTTGCCAGAGAGGTAGTTGGCCGCCATCTTGGGGATGGTTGTGGACACATGCATCAGATCCATGAGGGAGAGCTGGCTGAGCAGGAAGTACATGGGTGTGTGCAGCCTGGGATCTGCGCAGATGAGGAGAATGGTGAGGGTGTTGCCACTCACTGCAACAAGGCAGACCAGCATGGTCAGGGAGAAAAGGAAGACGTGGATGAGGGAGTCATCAAAGAGTCCTTCCAGGATGAAGTCTGCCAGTGAGGTCTTATTCCTCTGCCACATGTCCCCTTCCTTGGTCCCTGGAGAAATCAGGAATGTAATTAGCTGAGGTACTGTTACTCAACATACCTGAGATTTAGCACCTTTTTCTCTAAGAAAAAATTTTTGAAGAGCAAATTTCCAAAGTATAATTACCAATGGCTCTAATTTTTGATATATCCTTTAAAAAAAAAGAGAGAGATCATAGTTTCTCTTCACAAACATTATCACTTTAAAATTCCAGAGTATCTACACTATTAAATACCAACTTTCAAAACAAGACTTCCTTCTCATTAATTAAGGAAGATACACACACACACACGTATATTTATCTCTTTATATTATTCATCTTTCATATAGTAACTGCACATATACTTTTTATATATGACTATTTTTTAAAAATTTAGTAGTCAACATTTAATTAGAGAAACTGAGCAAGAGACATATACATATATAATTTTTCAATGGATTTACAGAAATTTGGCAAAATTATATATGCAGTTGTGGATGCTGGCTTGCTTGTCTGTGTAAGCCTGTCACCTTTGGATCTTACACTAGAACTTAGAGTATAGGGCGAGTGTTCAGGAAAGGATCATGGCTATAAAGTGCGGAAGGTCAATAGCAAGCTGGAACCTACAAACGGGCTGTAACCCCACAAGTACATCCTGGAACCAGTCTTGTTTACTCTTGAATTGGTGGAGTGCTTACCTTCCCATTTTCTACATCATGCTGAAACAATTGGTTTCTAGAATGGTCTTTTGACAATTCAGTACAACAGCTAAGTTAACAGCACCTTGCGCTGCAGGGGCAGTGTCTTCCCAGAGGTGATACGCACTCCAAATGTGCATCCATTAGTGTTGGCGTTTACCCCATAGTCAGAGTTCACAGGACTTGGGCTCAAGAAATAGAAGTTGAGCAAGTCCACTCACTATAATCCTATAACATCCTCCAGCAGAATATTTGCTTCCTTTTCCTGCACCGTTAGAATCTCAGTGGCAAGGCAGAAATCTCTACCAGGGGACAAACAATAATTCCATTCACTGGAGCTGAGACCAGTCCTGCCTCTTTGGGCTTCTCCTGTCATTGAATCAACAGGCAGAGAACAGTATCGCCACTGGCCAGGGTGGTGGCCCCTGAGTGGCAAGGAGGGTGTGTAGCTGCTCTGCCATTCGGACGAGGAGGAGCATGTCTGCATCTCTGTGTTGCTGGAGGTATACCACGGTGATTCTCTGTACTGAAATGTTCTGTGATAAAAGCAGTGGAAAACTGTAACCGTTCATTTCAAATAGGTACACTAGTGACCAAATTTTTTCAAATGAAGGTTTGGAAAAGAATCATGAGTAACTGTGAGCAAGGTTACAGGAATGGTTAGCGAGAGAACGTGGTTATTATACCAGATCCAAACATGTGAGCAACTGCAGACGTAAAGACCAATTCAGTTACAGCCATTTCTTCCGTATTTTGATGGTGTTCGGTATGTATACGTATTAACCAATTATTGTTTTAGTCTTCCTCTTTTCCAATTAAGATACTGTAATATATTAAAACCTATATTAGTAATATAGGTTGCCTTCATAACAATGTGGTTACCTTCATAGCTCAGTATTTAAATAACAAGATATAAAAGGGATTATGAGTCAGATAAGAATAGAAGGAATTTTACCTAAAGATAAAAAGGATTTGTATACTCTTATGGATAAAGGGTTGGTGCCTTTTTACCTTCTTCTCAGGAAAATTTAACATGCTCTTGATTGTCCCCTTAGATTGTCCCCTCCATGTTAGTTGGAGGGTAAGTTGGGACTTTCTTTATTTGGGGATTAAGAATGGTTTTGAGAGCTGTACATGCTTCCACACTGACAGATAACACAGCCTCCGTACTTCTTACCTGGAAACGAACAAGTCCAAGGTAGAACTGAGAATCTTCATTCTCAATCAGGATGACAAAACTAGGATCATGACATTTAATCAGCCAAATTCCCAAACTGTCTCTTTATCCTATTCTCTTCTGAATATTGATCAGATTCAGGGCTCGATATTGATGATGAAGGCAAAAATTTTTTTAATCTATACTGATTACCATAACAATCACATTGTCTCTCTTTGTGTTTTTTCTCCTAAGCATCTCCCTAGATCTCTATGCAGTCTAGATTCTCTACTACTATCTGAAGTGAAGAAGTCAGAACTATATGCATTGTCCAATTAAAAAGGAGCCACTTTTATTATGTCTCCCTGTTTGTGCGGCTTCTTGGCTGTCACCGGGCACTTATTTAATCTCAGCCTTTTCTCCACAAGAGCCCAAATTGCCCTGATCACTCCAACCCAGTGAAGATACCTACCT